GCCCCTGGATGTTCCCGTTTCAGGGTCGCCTGTCCTCGCTTCTCGTACCCAGGCTCCTCTGCTACCAACCTCTGCTACCCGCTCCCCGCACCGCCAGCCGCCGCTTGTTGGTGCACCCGACGAGCGTCGTGCCCAAAACTCCCAAGCGCACACGCGGCCCATGCAAGTATCGGGCCGCTCTTGCGTCTGCATGCATCCAGCGGGCTGCCCCCTTCTTTGTCGGCTTGCCGTCGTCCAGAACCATCCACGCTGGCATGTGGCGTCACGCTCTACGCCAATAATACGATTGCTTATCGCTGGCGCCCCTGCGCGCGTCTTGCATGCTTTTGATGCGTGTTGGGGGGGGGGGCAACACAGCAACGGCAGGCTGGCCCCTGCTGGTGGGCGCTCGACCAACTGCTTGCGTTTGCGTGACAAGGTGGGCGTGTTTTTCAGGGGTTTTGACGTGGCTGTACTGCTATGCTGCACTGCAAGCAACGGCAATTTTTGCATTGCTGATTTGTTAGGGCATGTTACCAAGCAGTTAGATTTGTCTGTCTCTGCCATCAGATAGCATCGGATGTCAGGCGCATGGGGCAGCAGGGCAACCTCAGCAGCTGAAGTGGAATGGTCAGAGTGCTGTTTTTTCTGCCGTGAGACGGACGCCACTGTCGTCAGAGTGGCCCTTTCAAAGCAAAGGAGTTGCAGCCAGAAACTAGCCTTGCACATGCAACGAGCGACAAAGCAGCCACACAGCACGCAAGGGGTTTGCAAATTCTTAGTAAGCCCAGCCACCTGCTTGTATCCCCCGGACGGACGTTCCGCAATGGGTGGTGGCGGCTGCGCAACGCCAGCCAGGCGGGTGCGGCTTCGACGCAGCTTTGCTGCAAGCTGTTTGCAAATCTCTCATGGTCACGAGCGGTGCGCGGGCGAGGGCAGGCACCGTTGCACGCTTCGTGCCTGAGGCACTGCCCTCCAGGGATGGCTGGTTCAGGATGTTGGTGGGGCCGAGCGCGCTGCTGCAGAAATGCCGCCACCTCAGCGGCTCTCGCCCACTCCTCTAGCATTGCCGACTGGCGGGGATCACACAGCAAGCAGCTGCCACCAGAAGATCCGAGTATTGTTTATCAGACCCATGCTGGAAAATGGCATAGCTTGCACACTGGAGGCACCTCTCTGATTACACACCATGCCAGTGGACCAGGCAGCCCAGTAGTTGAGGAGCAGGTTGTATGGCCCCCAGGCCTTGCAAGCAGATCGAGGACCCCCGGCCGCAAAGGCTGTGGTGGAGCATGGCTGGGATCATCCAATAGAATGTGTTTTCACGTGTGAAACACAAAGTTTGTGTTTCACGTGTACGACGCATGCGTTTCTGTGTGTGTCTCAGCATGGAGCCGGCGCCTGGGCAACTCTTGGATGCAAGTTTGTGCATGAACAGGTTGGCAAGGGCACTCACGCACGTTGGTTGTGAGATTCATTGTGCAGACTCTTATGTGTGTTGAGAGTCAAAGCATGCCCTGACACCCCGCGCCGACGATGTGGTGTAGAAGCAGTGCGTGCACGCCGCCTGCGCGCCAAACAAAGGAAGCCAGCCGCCTCAAAGGCGCATGCCTGTTGCGGCGGGCGGCAGGCATGCTGCAGGGGGGGGGGTGTATTTGAGCCGACGGGCCGCGAGCGTTCTGGCCTGCGGACGGGGACCGCGCCGGGGCACGCGGCTCTCGCCGTCCATCGGGGAGCGAGGTGCACAATTGATCATTGCTGGGGGGAGTGAATCACGCATGCTTTGAGCGTGGCAGGCAAACGGATTTAGACAGCCACCCGGGGCTTGGCGGGCTATCTCAGGTTGAACGGTGGCAGCAGCCTGCCTCCACTGTAAGTTTAATGCTCATACTACTCCCAACTTATCCATCTTTGAGGTTTGCATCAGCCGCAGATTGACCAAATTCGCAAGGACATCCCATCTGCACACAGATGCTCGTGACGCTGATAGGCCATCGCCCTGGGTGCGTGGATGCAGGCACAGAGGCGGCGACGCCGCTGCCAGCGCCCCCCCCTGGCTGCAGGGGTAGGTGACCTGAGCAGGCGGGCGAGGGTGAAGACGCAGCCATTCGAGCCGCGGCCGACCTCGGGTCTGCTCCTGGCGGACTGGATGGTCAGCAGGCAGGCGGTGACTGCTCAACTGCCTGGACGAGCCGACACCCCGCCGCAGCGGCGTTACGCGGTCTGGCAAACGCGCCCGACCCGGCCTTGCCGCGGCCGCATGTCGCAGCCGCGGCGGGCTGTCGGCTCGTCGAGGCGGTGGAGCAGTCTCCACCCGCATGCTAATCTCCCCACCCGTTGGGATCACACGGCGTTGCCGAGGCCGCCGCGCCGACGGGCCGCGTTCAGGCGAGGGCCCGCCGCCGCCGCCTGCCAAGAAACGGAGCGCCGTCAGCGACCGCCGGCGGCGCCGGCGGCGGTGCGGCGATGCACCTGGTTCAAGCGCGGGAGGGTGTCCAGACCAAAATGTGGGTGCTCGGAGCAACTGTCAGACAAGTTTCAAACAACCGAGGATCGAGTCTGGCAGCCTATTGGCTTTGAAGATCTCAAAAATCTCAAACAGAGGTCGCTGCATGCCAGGGCTCCGGGACAGAGGGTGCGGCAGGCAACGGCGGCCCAAGGTCAGCTGAGCGGCGGGCCAGGACCGTACAGGCTGGCCAAATGCCGAGGCGCCCGCCGACCCGGTGGAATTCTGGCAACCCAGCTGTGCGCCGCTGCTGAAGTTTCGGCGCACCCGAGGTAAGGGGAACAGGGCTGGTCGCCACCTGCATTGCCGCCCGTCAGCTTCAGTGGATTGACTGTCGTCGGACCCCCACCGCCGCGGCCACTGCCGCCGGCGTCCATGCCACCGCGCAGCGGGCCGGCTGACGGCGGGCGCGGTTTGGGCGACTGCGGCGCCGGCGCCGCCGCCCTACCGCCTTGGCTGACGTGGCGCGTCGGGTTGCAGACCCGCAGAAGCAGCCCCTCCGGCAGGAAGGTGTCCGGTTTCTCAACCACCCTCGCGTTCAGCGACAGCAGCGCCTCAATCGGGACGCCGAAGGTCGCCGCAACCTTGGACACGTAGTCGCCGGGCCGGACTGGGGGTCAGGGTGCAGTGTTGAAGGGTTTGAGATGCAGCTGGAAGTGTGAGCGCAGTCAGAGACTAACCATCACTAAACACCGCAGAAATTAGGCCCCAGCAGCCCAGTGGGGGCTGTCGTGTGCAGAGCCTCCCCCTCAAGCAACGGGGGAGTCGTACGCGGGCCCCGCGCCCAGGCAGGCGGGCGAGCGAGCCCCGTGCGCGGCGAGGACAAGGGGAGGCACTGCCTGAGGGCAGGCGGATGTGAGGGGCGCCCGCTCGCCTGCGTAGGCGTAGCACCCGGGCTCCTGCAGGGCTTCCACCGCCGGCGGGCGCAGCAGGAGGCCCTGGGACGCGGGCACCCACGTGACGCCACACGTGTCGGCCGGATCAAACATGTGCATGAGGCCGAACCGCACCTGCCAGTAGTTAGTGACGATGCGGGCGTGGCTGCGTTAACGCAGTTGGTCGACTGGATGGAACTGGCACCGTGTTGGTTGTGCCAGGGGGACGCGCTTGTATGATTGTGACTCAAGTGTAATAATACAAGCAAGCCATATCACCCATTTTGTGGCAGCCCAGCCGTTTGATGATCCCAAGGGTGACGGAGAGGCCAAGGTTGACTTGGGCGCATGACACATGACAGGCAAGGCGCAGGCTGGCATGCAAGGCAAGGGCGCCTGGAGTCCGCGTCAGGGGGGCGATGCGAGTGCCGCAGGCTGCCGTGCGCCTGAGTGCCGCGGGAGGCACTCTTCGGTCTTGGTTCCACGCGTGCAGGGATAAGGGAGGGGAGGGCAAGGCTCCCACTTTGCTCTGGGCAATGCAATCAGCCGGTTCACCTTGGCAAAACCGCTGTCAGCCCTAGGAGCACCGCAGGAGCCGGTTCATGGCAAGCGGGTGGCAATGGGGGGTGGGTGTCAGGTGTGGATCGCTGGCGGCGAGCGGACCCGCCCGGCCCGGCCGGTTTGCACTTCGGCGGGCAACAACAAGCGTGCGGCGCCCAGCGGCGCTGCGGCAGGGCGTTTGAGGGGCTGGTGCATTGCCGTGTTCCCCCTTGACTATAGGGGCACGTCCCAACGGCGTCTCACCATCCCGTGCCCCAGCTGTCAAGTTTTGTCGCAGGTTAAAGCCAGGCGGGTTGCGTGGGTGTTGGGTGTTGGGCGCGATCATGGAGAGTGGATTGCAAAACAAGCAATCTACCCAGGTAGGGCCGCCACGCTGCATGGCGATCGGCAGCAGCAGCAGCAGCAGCGGGGCACGCGGCCCACTGCCCTCCAGGGCGGCCGCGGCAAACTCAGCAGACACGGCGACGAGGCGCTACCGCAGGCGAGCGAGAGAACACAGGAGCGCCAAGCGCGCAGGCTGCGAGACGCAGGGCCCCAGGCTTCCTAGCGCCCGCGCTAAACCCTGGAGTTTGTTGTCTGCGTTGAGCCCTGATGCAGCGGCCCGTACTCGCCTGTTTTTGATGATCCAGAAGCGCTCCACATTGTTGTACCCCACCTGGAGACGGCATTGTAATTATCAGTCAGCAGGTGGGAAATGCGAACGTTGAGTGGCTGAAACAAAAGTTGTAGTTATACGAAGTAGAGGGGGTCAAGACGTCGTGCAATCGCAGGTTGATCGACAGGCGGGCCACCCGACCACACAACATCCCATGTCCAGGATGAGCCATCCGGCGCTACGGCACGCGCCTCGGCAAGCGTGCGGGGGCGCGGCGGGTGGGACGCGGCGCATCCGGCTGATGACGGTGGTCGTGGAGGGCAAACGGGGCGCTGGCGTGGGGGCCTCACCGCAAAGACGGCGTGGGCCATGCTGTCGCTCGCATCACCCGACACGCCTGCGTTTGGGATTCAACAACGCGATCAACGCACGACAGACACTTCCAGGGGTCAACTATAAAATCATCAACGATATCAATCCAGGGTCAAGCTGTAAATCAGGGAAACAGAACCACTGTGCGGCGGAAACACCACTGCTCCTCCGTTGCCAAAGCCGACCGCGGCCACCGCTCCCGCCGGCCGGGGGACTCCGCAGCAACAGGGCGATTCCTGGGCGCTGCTCTAGAGCCCTGCGTGGATGCAGCGGCGCCCCAGATCTTGGATTTCCGGATCTGCAAATCTACAGATATAGAGATCTCATATCTGCCCGGCCCTCACCCCCCTCGTCGTAGACCTTTGTTTTGTTGGCGCCCTGGAACCATGACCTGAAGCCCTTTGGGACGTCCATGCGCGTGACGACGCCTGCGAGCGGAAGGTGGGGTGGTGGTGGTGAAGGTGCCAAAGGCAAGGCGCCCGCAGGACCGGCAGTGCGAAACTTCCAGCTTAAGCAGCTGTTACCCTTTCACTCATCTTGACAAGCACACAGGCTCAGAATCGAGCAATTTAAGGAGCAGTTGGCGTGAGGTTCAACTTCGAAACGACCTCGCAGCGCGCAGCACGGCCGCCGGCACGTCCCCTTTCACCAGCCCCAGGAGACCCGCCGCGCAAGCGCCTTCCGCCGCCCGCCGCCCGTCCCTCACCGCCCCACTCGCGAATGTGTTGCTGCATCCGGGGGATCGAGCGCAGGGGCCGGACCTTAGTCCAAGAGAACGAGCCTTTGGGGCTGACAGGCGAGCTGCAGCGAGGGGTGCACAATCCTGCGGGCGCGGGGGGAAGATCAAATCAGGTGCGGCAAATGAACGGTGTGTCTGGCTTTAATGGATGCACGCACATATGGGCGAATCTGTGTGTGTGTGTGTGTGTGTGTATGTGTGTGGGGTGTGTGTCGGGGGCTTTGGAGATGGAGAGAGTGCCCTCGGCTGCACATTGTTGTGGGGCTGACGGGAATTCGCGGCCTTGACCCATGAGCCCCGGCGGTGGTTTGACTGAGTGCATTCGAAGGCGAGGCCAGGCACTGGCAGCGAGGCGGGCAGTCACCCGCGACGGAGCCGGCCGCCCGGGCGGCGCCCATGCTGCAGCCAAGGACCGCTGTGGTGACGGTGAGGGGGGTAGACCGCACGCACGTGGGAGGGGCGCGGACTGGGTGTTGCTGAAGGGCAGGCAGTCCGCGGACTGCAGCTGCTTGCGCTTCGTCAGCTCAGTCAGGGCGCCGCTGAGGGTCCAGCCGCTCTGGCAGCTGGCGTCCCCGGCTGCAGGGGGCGCGGGCCAGGGGAGGGGGGTGGGGTGAGAACGGCAAGGGAGAGATTTAGGGGGCCGCGATTCGGGCCGGCGGCGCCATTGCAGCACCTTCTTTGCAGGTCGTTCAGGGCCCGTGCTGAAACCAGCATGTTCCCCGCCGCAGCCCAGCGGCCGACAGACCGGCTTGATGGGCCCGCGGGCCGCCCCTCACAGCTCTACTTCCAAAATTGAAGACTCACCGTCGCCGCCGCAGAAGAAAAGGTCGAGCGGTGACAGCCGCGGCACCCCGCCGCCCGCACCCGCGTCGAGCAGCGCGCTGCCCATCGCGGCCTCCGCCGCGGCCGTGACCGCAAAGGACACGCACGCGCTGCAGTCGCCTGCGGGGCGCGGGGGTTGGGCGGGTGCCGGGGTTGAAGCGGCTGCAGAGGTCGGGGGAGCGGGGTGGGCAGGCGGGCGGGCGGGGCAGCTGGGCTGTCCTTGGGGATTCGGACAAGTCCCCTGCCTTCGGCAAGAGAGCCATTTCTGGGCTGACTCTTGGCACTGACGACAGCAGCGCCACACGAACGCCCCCTCGTTCTCGTGAGGTCAAGATGCGACCAAGGCGCGCCGCGCGGGGTTGGCTGCGCGGGGGCCGCGCTGCGCCCGCACCCTGATCGCCGGGCGGAGAGATGACGCTACTCTTGCCGGCCGCCCCGCGGCTGAGTCGCCCGTCGAAGGCCGTGGGTGACGTCGCCAGCAGCAGCGCGTCACGCGCCTGCTCGCTGCCAAAAGACGCGGACCCACAGAGCGACGAGGAGTCGCCCTTGCAGGCGCCCCGCAGCGCGGGCTTCCACATCGCCAGCAGCGCCTGGGCCTGCTGCATCGACGCCGCATAGGATCCCTGCAGCTGCTGGGCGCGCTCGCTGGCGCCGAGGAGGGCGCCGCCATCGGTGCGCAGGCCCTGGGCTGCGGAGAGGGGGCGCAGGGCGGGGGGTTGAGGCTGTGAAGGGGCCTCAGGGGGTGCTCGGATGAGCGTGGGGTATGGGAGTTGATGTGAGGGATCGCCTGGCTAGGTGGGGACGGGAGCTTCAAGGGGTGTGGTGGCAAGCAGCTTGCAGGTTGAGGCGTGGGGCGCGGGGCAGCGCACGGCCTCCCCTGCATATACGCGCGGGCGCACCATCTGTTGGGCTGCAGTGGAGCGCGATGAGGGCCACAACCAAGACCAGCGCAGCTGCCGCGCGGCTGCGCCGTCTGGGCCAGGCTGCACATGCCGATTCGGACAGCCGCATACCGGCCACCACGCCGGTGCTGCCGGTGTATGTTGACTGTTATTATGGCTGCTGCTTCCTGGTTTCAATGCGGCTCGCCCGGGCTTGGTGCTGCTGAAGGACCGAAGGCAGGCTTATGGAATGCTGCTCGCAGCTGAGCTCACAGCGCTGTGCGCAGCAGAGAGGCGAAAGCGTCTTTGGGCCCCACTGCCCTCTAGTTGTTATGCTCTGATTTTCGAATTGCTTGATTGTGCCAATCGCGTCCTTGGAAGCTGGTACTGCGACAACGCCCCGCCCTGCGATAGGCGAGATTGCCGTCCAATGCTGTTGCTGCTCGGTCACCCACAGCTAGAATCCAGAGGTGAATGAAGATGGGAGAGGACAAGACTCCAAGAGTTCATCTAAATCAAGACTACCGTAGGAGCCTGAACCATTGCCGGGTCAGAAGGCGGGTATATGTGTAGAGCGGTCGTCGCCGCTTGCGTGGTGCAAAAACACTTCTATTTACTGTTGGGTAGATCTGTGCCGCTCTACTGTACTGTGTTGCAGGCGACGACGCTGCAAGCGAAGCAATGCAGCCTGGGGTCCAGGCGCTCGGCTGATGACGAGCGTCTGCTGCCCGGGACCTTCCCGGGCCGCACCAACTGCATGTGGCCTGACCGCTTGCTGAAGCTAGTGATATACCAGGAATCACTTCGGCTGCTCGAACGTCATGTGCAGACAGCGGCCTTGATGAAGCGGGACTAGCGTCCGGTGAACGACGTCTGCACTACCCCAGTGAGCAGCTTCCTGGGTGCAATTTACATGGAACAAAGTCATGTCATGTGCACGGATGCAAGATGAATTTGGCAAACAGAAACTAAGCATGGATATCGCAAACCCTCAAAGGTGCATTGGCGAGATTCGTCCATCATTGATAAGCAGAGGGCATGCATGTGCAATCAGGCTCTTCACGCGTGCGGAGACGCCTTGCGGGCGCGCACTGCGGGCATGGCACGCTTTTATGTCGCATCCTGGACTTGATATATTCCCAATCAGCGATCAGGCCTGAGTACTGGATCCGGATCAGATGGTAAGGGAACAGCCAGCACAAGCTGGTGGCAGCCGTCTGCACCGCCGCTCGATCCGATCCAACTGACCGCTATGGTGAGGGATGTGGTCCCTGGAAGAACCTTAGAAACCCCAACGGGCGTGCCAGGGTGGCACCGCCCTGTCCTGCTTTGGCCCGCCGCAACCAATGCAGCACGTTGTCCACTCCCCCCCCCCCCCC